TGTGAAATTCGGATTTTACATATTCTGTCTATGTAAAGCTGGAATCCCATATTTTATCATCCTGGCAAGACAGCTGTGTGCAGCTCACAGTAATGCACATGGAGCTGGGTGGAGGAAGGATGTGCAGCCTGTAAACCAGAACAGCCTCGGGATTTATGTCCCAGGGCACTTTGCTGTGACACAAACCAACATCAGAGTCACTTTTGGTGTTTCCCAATGCAGGCCAAAATCCTGTCACGGATCATACTTGATACCTGAGAACTTCCAGCAGAGGAACATCCAGCTCATACAATCCATTAAAGAATTTCTTCAAAGCGACGAGTCCAAGTTCAATAAATTTAAAACTCATTCTGGGCAGTTCAGGCAGGTGAGTGGGTTCCCCAAACCTCCCTTTCTGGGAGACCTGAATCCCAGTGGGATTTTTGAAGAGATCTGTGTATTTCTAATCCTCCCCCCGGGCTGTTGCCTGCAGGGTGTGATCTCTGCAGCACAGTACTACAAGAGCTGCCGAGAGCTGCTGGGGGAGAACTTCAAGAAGATTTTTAAGGAGTTGTTGGTGCTGCTGCCGGACACGGTGAAGCAGCAGGAACTGCTCTCTGCTCACAACGACTTCCGAGTCAAGGAGAAACAAAGCTCCAACAGGCCCAAAAAGAACAAAAAGAACGTTTGGCAGGTGGACTCCCCCGCAGACCTCGACTGCTACATCTGCCCCACGTGTAAGCAAGTGCTGACTCAGCAGGACGTGGTCACCCACAAAGCTTTGCATATTGAGGATGAGGAGTTCCCTTCCTTGCAGGCAATCAGCAGGATCATCAGTTAGCTTTCCTGAGGGCCCACACACCAGGCTCTGGCTCTGGAGATGCACTTTTGGAATGAGGTTTGGCAGCGTAGAGTGGCTGAGGGCCGGTGCCGGTTGAGTCAGTGAGGAGCAGGTAATTTTGGGGAGCCCTCTCGGGGCAAAGGGATCATGAGAATGTGCTGGAGCTCATCCCTCCCACAGTCTGAGCTCCCAAAATCTGGGGTAGGGTTAGGCTGAGCCGCAGGGTGGGCAGGCAGGGGCTCCTTCCTCCTGGAACATGCAATAGCTGGGAATCCTTTCTGATCTGCAGACTGACAGGGGACACAATAGGGGAATAAGCATCTGGTTTGGGGGTTTCTTTCTGGTTTTGGGGTGGGGGAAGATTAGGGAATCACTGAAATGAACAGAAGCAACTTCCCTTATAACATTCTGATTTTTTTGTGCTATTTCAGTGAAGATCACACTAGTCAGGGGTACAAAGGTGCAGGAAAGATGCTGCTCACTGGTGTGACCAGGAGCGCTGCAAACACTGGGCTGCAGAGTTTCCTGTCTGCAAACAGAGTCCATTCTGCTGCTTGAAGAATTGGGCTGGTCTGTGCAAGATTTGAAGTTGCCTCTGACCTTTTCTGTAACATGTTCTTTCAAGAAACTGATTTTGTAGCCCTGCATGTACAGTAACAGCATTAAGGCTTTACTCTGTGTAAAGCACACGGGAATTTTATTTAATGACTGCCATGTTTCTAATTTCTTGGTTGTATTACTGGTGGGAGCTCCCAACAGCATCCTGGGACATTAAATGCTGCTGATCACTGACCATGTTTTCTGCAGTGCCTTTAAGTGCATTTCTCTGACACCTGCACCTCCCTCGGTGACACCAGGCTGATGTAGCTTTGCTCATGTTTTTTGGCATCTCCAAATTCCACCTCCTCAGACGAAGAGGGGGATCTCTTCATCCTGTGAGGTGACTCCTCCAGCAGCAGCTCTGAGGTGCTGGAGTGCCAAGAGCCCTCCCTGCCGTGCACTTCCATGGCTGTGGTTCAGTGTCCGACCCCTCCCATCTCCAGGTTTAGTTATTTCTAACATGTAGGAATAAAGCTGAAATTAATTTATGTAATTTTTAGTGACAAAACACAGCTTTTCTAGAGGCATCATTTCCATGAAATCAAGCTCAGAGTTAGTCCTGCTACAGCCACTTTTCCTTGCCTTACAAGTTATTTTTGCTTGCTCAGGCTGCAAAGTGCTTTGGGTTTCTTTTCTGGGTATTTAAGACTGTTCTGAACACCTGAACGTGTTGTATTTGGCCCCAAACGGGGCTGGGGAGGATGATTTGCCTGCATGGCTGTTCACACACTGCATGAGCACGTGAGGAGCTGGGACATGTCCCTGTTGCTGCCTCAGGTGGGGCCCTGGATCCGAGCGGGACGCGATGCCCGAGGCACGGCCACCACCAGGGATGGGGGGGGATGTGGGGGGTGCCAGCTGCCCCCACCACTTCAGTCAACTCCTCTCCCCATCTTTGGTTTGTAAAGTTCAGGGGGCTGAGATGCATCTTCCCTGCAGCAGAATCTTCCCTCTTCCCTTGGTTTTCACTCTGTCAGCAGCTCCCTGGTTCCCTGGGCTGGTGCTGCTGGGAGTTCCCTTGAGGCTCTGGATCTCCAGGGCCTGCTCTTGCAGTTTCCTTATTCCTTGTGCTCACCTGATTAAATAAAGTTATTACCAAATTTTTTTTTTCTATTCATTTTTAACTCTTTATTGAAAATAAGTTGCAGTTGGTTACACGGACACCGAAAATACAGAATCACAGATTGTTCTCTCAAAAGATATTTTTATATATATAATATATACAAAATTGTAAACATTTTAAACTTATTTCCATACACAGTCCACTTTATACTACACTGCACAGAGGTTAAGTGACAACTGCAACTCCTGGAAGCGTCTGCTCGGACAGAGGTATCTGCAAAGAAACTGAACTTCCCCAACCACAGTTGGGATCTGTTGGAGATTAAAACTCTTAAAGGATCTGAGGTTTAAATGTGTATTGCAACAAAATCCAGGCAGCTGAACTTGGGTTTCAAGTCGAGACAGTGAAGGCTGTTTCTGAGCCTCACTGGGGTGGGAGAGGCTCTTGTGACACACAGAGGGTCGAAATGCAGCTGAGAATGGGACAAGGGGGGACCAGAGCGGGACCAGAGCCACCTGCTTGGGGACAGCACGGGCTGAGAGGAGTCTATGAATATGTACAGCAGCTTTCACTGAGAGAAATGACCATTCCACAAAATAATGATGGGATTTGCTATGGAATAGATGGTGAGCAGGGTTAGTGGGAGCTCAGAGCAGCTCAGGAGCAGCACTGTGCCATTCTGAGGGGCTGGTGATGGGCAGGGGAGGGTACAAAGTACCCTGTAAGGAACTGATGGACAGCAGAAAAGAAATGCTGGGAGTGTCACTTGCTGTTGTGGCAGGAACTGATGGGAAACTCATCCCACAGTGTCCAGGCACAGCTGGTTGGTATGGCATAAAGGGAGGGATCTGCTCGTGGGGTCTGCTCCAGCCCCCTGAGACACAGAAGCAGGTAATGGGGGGGATATTTTTACTAAATATCACTTAAGCAAAGCTTCCACCTTGGTAGGAGCAGCTTAAAATGTTGACAGAAACTCCAATTCTTTCAAATCTTTTAATATGCTTTAAATAAATTGCAAACCCCACAACGTGGTTACCCCAGTGCTGGGAAACACCCGCGTTGTCCCGGCAGAGCCTCCTGGAGCAGGGGGGTCGGGCAGAACCCAGCTTGGGATTGCTGGAATTCTGCTCTTTACACCCAAATTCAGTGCTAACAGAAGGTTTTCGGCTGAGCTGAGCACAGCAGAGTCCTGCCCTCTGTGAGCTTGAGGTGCTGGGGGGTCCCGAGCTCTGAGAACAGAGGGTCATAAACGGCTTGTGAGGATGGCACAGCCCTGGCATGCTCAGGACAGTCCTGGCGTGGTTTTGGGACAGCCCTGGCATGCTCAGGACAGTCCTGGCGTGGTTTTGGGACAGCCTTGGCATGCTCAGGACAGTCCTGGCACGTTTTTAGGATGTGGTCTGGGGAGTTATGAGGGAACAAGTGCTGTTGTACCACATCAAATGGGCTGGGAGAAAAAACTGGGGAGAAAGAAGATGGAAATGGATGTTACAAATACCTGAACCCCCAATACAGCAGTTCCTGCTCCCATGGCTCCAGTTCTCTAACCATGGACCCTTTGGGCTGTGTTTATTCCAACCCCACCTGTACACTCTGGTCTGCCCAACGGGTCACGGACACACTGAGATGTGGCAGCACCTTGGGCACTGCAGGGTGACACCGAGCAGCTCGTGGGGACACTGGGGGGGCTCACAGAGGATTCCAGGCAGGATTCCAGGCACAGGGTGTCAGTGGCCAGGCTGTGGGGTTGTGTCTCACCCTGCCTCTGAGCATGTTTGGATTCAGCTGGGTGGAGGCTGCTGTGGGGTTGGGGAGCTGCACGTGGGGCCTTTGGCAACAGTCCCCCCAGCCAACCCAAAACCAGGGGTGTTTGAGTCAGGCTGAGGTGGGTCAATGCTCCTTTCAAGGCCGGTGTATCCTGGCTGCTATGGAGCCACCTGACTTTTGGGTTGTCCCCTCCTGCCTCAGCGTGGCCACATCCTACATAAACCCATCACTGTTCCCTGGGAAAACACCCCAGCTGTGGGTGTCCTGCCCGTCTGAGTTGCCCGTCCCAGTGCCACCCCAGCAGGGATGGGCTCCCCTCCCTGACAGGGACCGGCATTTTGGGTGCAGAGAGATCAGGGTTAACCTCCCCTGAGGTGCCTGTTGATGTGGCTGGACATGTTATTCCCTACTCTGGTTTAATCAAGGAACAATCTGTCCTGCCTTCCTGCTGCCAGGAAGCCTCTCGGGTGCCCAAGCCCTTCCTCCTCCTCCTCCTCCTCCTCCTCCTCCTTCTCCTCCTCTTCTGCCCAGCAGAGCAGCCAAGTGCTGCCTGCAAGGTGAAGGTAACACTGATTTTTAGGAGCTGGAACAAGCTGCTGACCTCGGGAAGAACCAGGAGCCTCAGCCGGGGGCTGGAGCTGTGCCGGCAGCATTCCCATGTCATTCCCTGACTCCCGAGGTCAGTCCTGGCACCGAGCGTGGTGGGATGTGCGTGTGGGGCAAAGAAAGGCAATGCAGGCCTTGGGGGGGGACATTCAGAGCGTGTAATTTTCAGCACGGGGGGTACAGGGGGCAGGACACGTCCCGCAGGCAGACACAGCTTTAGCTCTTCACGGATACAAGGAAACTCTGGAACAGTTATATTATAGTTAGAAAAAATACACTGTACCGAACGAACATTATCTCACGTACAATCAATTTAAACATTTAAATTGATTATAATTTTGCTAAAATATTAACACGAGTACTGGTTGTGCTGCTAAAGTGTCAGTGTTCCCTCTAAGGAAAATATTGCTACAGTTCTACCGGACCCTGTATTAAAATCCTTGGGGTTTTTCCTTTCCCAGCAAGACTGGCTCCACAAAATCACAAAGATCCTGGAATTCATTTAGGCTACCCTGGGGTTTGGGTGTCCCTGGTCAGGCAGCTGTGAGGAGCTCAGCACTGGCACAGCCAGGGAATGCTCATGGAACCCAGCCTGGATGGAGGGAGGCAGGGAATGCGCTTTGTCACGGCCAGTGACGGCTCGGGAGGATTTGCTGCTGATTACTTGGTTTAAATGCCATTCAGCAGCAGGAATGAGCTGTGGTGGTGGTGACCAGGACCTGCTCCACGGGGAGGGGCAGGCTCTGACTGTTGCTCCTCACAGGGCGAAGGCAGCAGCGGCTTTGCCAGAGGGAACTGGCAAGGCAAGACCCCGGAGTGCCGGAGAGCCGGGAGAGCTGGGGGTCTCCAAGGATGGAGCTGCCACCAAGGGGGTCAAGAAGTCAAGTTTCAGCTCCTCTGCTCAGTCCTCAGTGACACATGGCCTGGATCAGCTGCTGCACAGGCAGGGAAAGTCATCAGGGAAAGCCAGCAGGGAAAGCTGGAAGGGAAAGCTGGAAGGGAAAGCCAGTAGGTGGCTGACAAGGACCCACTGGATTTTACACGTTTTGTTTTTACAAGGCAGGAATTTTGCAGCTGAAACTCCAAACTGAGCCTCTTTCCTGGGTGCTTTTCACTGACTCTCTCCCCCCACCATTTCCAAACATGTGAGCCCACTGGGGAGAGACTTCAATGGCCTGTGAAGCCTTTCCAGTTCCCTGCCCGAATTCCTCATTTCTGGAGACTGCAGGGTGACACACATGTCCCCACCTGGGGTTCTGCTGCAGCTGACAGATGGTGGCTGCTCCCAGTATGAAAACACAAGTCCAATATTGCTCCTAATGGCCTTGGACTTTGCATCTGAGCCCTCCATCCCTGGTGCCAGGGCTGAGCGGGAGGACGTGGCAGCGCTGCCAACCAGAAACTTCCCAACTCCCTGGTGAACAAACAGAACCACAACATGCCACATCCTGCTGATCACAGGCTATTCCCAGTTAGCAGCCAGCTACTGCTGAACTGGTTTCCAGTTTCAAACAGTAATTTTTACACCCTTGACCAGAACCCATTGAAGCACAGAATTAACCTGGATATTGACCCTGACCCCGACCCACTGTGAGCCCCCCCCCCGTGCCTCTAAGCCAAGTTTGAAACACCTGTTTGGATATTTGTTTTGTACAGTAAATATATACAAAGAAAAGTAACACAGACACCACTTAACTTCCTTGTGAATTTGGCACTTTCCATGGAACATGGACTGGAAAGCTCCTCAGCAGGAGCCCAACCCTCCCCACCGCCCACCCACCCTCGACGGATTCTGTGTTAGCTCTGGAAGAACGAGATAAATAACTCCTCAGAACGAGAGAAATAACTCCTCAGCTACTGTTTTCTAAGAGGAAAAGGTGTCCTGGGCTTTCCCAGCAGAGCCAGCACCCGGCACCAAGGCTTAGAGAGGGCATTTATTCATTTTCCCCACGTGTAGGTGATGTGGTAACAACCTTCCTTCCTTCTGGCTTAGAGGGAACACTGCTTTTAGAAACCCTGGGACAGGTAAGACAAGAACCAATACCACTGTACAGAATTCACTGCACAACGAGCTAATAAAGGGACCCAGCACTGACTGGCCACGGCAAGGAAATGGGACTGAATACATTTGGGATCGGCCGGATGCGGTGCTGCACCGTGGGACGCGGCCCCGGGGACGCCCCGGGCCCTCAGTACGCTGGCACTTGGTAACCTTTGGGGTTGGCCTCTAAGGTCTCGGTGAAGGGGGGGCTCTGGTAGGTCTCCGTGCTCTCGGTGCCGCTGCCCACGGGGTACCCGGGGTACGGCGCGCTCGGGTCAGCGGGGAACTGGTCGGTGGCAAAGAGCGACATGTCCGTGCCCAGGCGGTACCTCTGCAGGGCCCTCACTGCCAGCACCACCTGAGGGAGGAGCAGGAGGTCAGGGGGGGCAACCTGCATGGTCCCAGCATCCCATAAACCCCCCCAGGACCCTGCATTGGCCCCAGGACCCCGTGACCCCTCAGGACATCATGTCCTCCCAGGACCGTGCACTCCCCCAGGACCCCACTTCCCTCCAGGATTCCACAGCCCCCTCAGGATCTCACATTCCCCCAGGATGCCATGTCCCCCCAGCATCCCACAGCCCCCTCAGGATCTCACATTCCCCCATGATCCTGTGTCCCTTCAGGACCCTGCCCTCAGGGCCACCCAGGACCCCGAGTTCCCCCAGGACCCCACGTCCCCAGCACCGAGCACGTGGCAGCATCCCAGGAAGCTGCTGCCCTGCTCTGTTAAAACCATGAGCTAATCCAACCCAAAGCCCACCCTGTAACACTGAAGAGGCCATTTCTGTGTGACAGGTTGACCCCAAAGCTGTGTCGGGGGTGGGGGTTGCAGCCTGGGCTCAAGACCCCTGGCTGTGCAGAGTTGGCACTGCTGGCACCAATGAACCCCTGTGCTGTGGGGAGGGAAAACTGATGAGTGCCAGGACAGGAAAATAGGTCAGTTCTGCTAAGACTCCTTCACCCTCTTCCAGGTTGCCAGAATTGAGGTCACAAAGGGTGGGAAATGTGGGCGTCAGAGCCACGAGTGCTCGCTCTGATTTCAGGAGGTTTCATTAACAATTTCCATTAGTTTATACATGACAGGCTCAGGAGGGGAAAAAAAAATGCCTGTAGACACCAAGAATGGCTTCCCAACCATCCTGGCCATCCTCTGGGATGGTAAAAGAGGAGTGGTGTCCCCGCTGCCCACTTGGGGTGGGAGCAGATGCTGAGGGGATGAGGGACATCCCCCTGCCTTGGGGGCTGCACTCAACGGGCACTCAGGCAACACAGGGATGGAGAAGAGCTGTGGGGAGCTGGGATTAAAAGAGATTTATTTGGATAATCATAAATCAGAGAGCAGTTGAATTGGTGAGGAACTGGAGCCAGGCTGCTGCTGGAAAACCTCAGGTTGGCTTTTGCCCCAATTCCCTTAAGGCAATATGGAAGTAGGGCACATCCTGGGGCTCTCTGCCCAGGAAAAACTGGAGGAGTGGAGGTGACACGGAGCTGTCCTGGCTCCTCCACACACAGCCTGTGGAGTAGGAGCCCCCTGAGTGGCACAGGCCCCCAGGACATGTGGGGTTCAGCAGCTGTAGGAAAGGGGCTCTGGGAGACGTTCCCCTGCCCCTGTGGGCCCTGGGGATGCACAAAGCCAAAAATAGGGAGCACAGTGGGTTTCTACAAGCCCCTGCCTCTGGGTGGACAGCAGAGGGGCCAGCCTGGTTTGTCCCAGGGAGCTGATGAGCCTGAGAGCTCCCAAAATCCCCCTGTCATCCCATGAAACCAGTTCAGAGCAGTGACCTGCTCCTGGGGACTCGTTTGCTCCCAGCTGAGCTGCCCCCGGGGCTCTAATGAGGCCCTGAAATCAGGGCAGCTCCTGGCTGGTGACACGTTCTCAACGGGAACACAACTTCCCAGGTGCAGGAGAAGGGGAAGCCTGGAATTCCCCAGTGAGAGGGGACTGAGCTGACGCTTCCTGGGTAAGAAACCACCAGTTTCTTCTGTGGAGGGCCCACAGTTCCCTCAGTGCAGCCCCTCAGTGCCCACCAGGATTCACTTCTCCAAACCCTCCCCAGATTCCTCCTCCAGCCCAGTGCTGGGCCCCGAGGAGGTTTTGTGTCTGCCCTGAGGAGGTTTTGTGTCTGCCCTGAGGAGGTTTTGTGTCTGCCCTGCCCAGCTCAGCTCAGATGCACTCACCCAGATGATGATGGAGAAGAAGGAGAAGGTGATCGCTGCCCGCGCGGCGTCGGCCCCCTGAGCAAAGCTCCTGGTCAGCGTCGTCCGCTGCCACTGGTTGGCCAGGAAGCAGAAGGCCACAAACCACAGGAAGGCCAGGAAACCTGGAAGAGAACAGAGCTGGTCAGTGCTGTCACCTCCTCTCCTGCAAGGACCCCGCCTGCTGCTGCAAAGGGTACATTTAATGGGATATTGGGAAAAAATCCCTCCCTGTGAGGGTGGGGAGCCCCTGGCACAGGTTGCCCAAGGAAGCTGTGGCTGCCCCCTCCCTGGAAGTGTCCAAGGCCAGGTTGGAAGGGGCTTGGAGCAACCTGGGATAGTGGGAGGTGTCCCTGTCCATGGCAGGGGGTGGAACTGGATGAGCTTTAAGGTCTCTTCCAACCCAAACCATTCCATAATCCTGTGATTCTGTGACACACGTGACAGCTCTGCTCCTCCCTGCAGAGAATCCCTCTGGGGCTGTGGAACTGAGCAAAAATACTCTGGTGATTATTCCTTACTGGAACCAAAGCTGGCTGAGCAAGATATGGCTGCAGCTCCCCTAATTCAATCACCAGCCAACAGCTCTGCCAGATGCCAAGGAGCTCAGCAAACAGTCAAGAAATAAGCCAAGAGCACACAGCCTAAGAAGCAGGGATGCTTTCCAGAGCTGGGAGGAGGAGCTGCATAACCTGGAGCCTCCCATGATGCTGTTTTAAGGGTCTCCAGCTTTCCTGAGGTCCCCCCACTCTCCAATTTGGATGTCAGTGCATGTGTGGATGCCGGGGATTCTGATCTGATGCTGTTCCTGGTGCTGATTCCACCCAGCACCTTCCCAAGGATCATCAGCACTTCAATATGAGCAGCCACACTGCCAGTCCCCTGGGGCTGCTGGCTGTCTGACTGCAGGGAGAGGAAGAACCTTCCTTTATTCCCCTTTATTCCCTTTTATCTTGCCAGTTGTCCCTAAGTAGGATATAAAATGCACGTGAGCATCCCCACCCAGTGCTGGAGTCACAGGGCCCACTGCCTTTAACTCAGTTTGCTCCTAATTGCAGTTTAAGAAACCACATTCTTTGTCTCCTTCTCCTGCACAGCTGGGCCTGGGGCTTCCCAACCATCCACACTTCCATCAGCCTGGCCAGGAAACTGCCCTCACAGCAAGGATCAGCCAGGCTTTCCCTTTCCAAAGTACAGACATTTCACCAGAAATGTCCTGTCACCAAACTACCAAAGCTCTGCCTCTGCACTTTCACTTCCCCTTAGGATGATGGCTTGTTGTCAGTGACCTCTGGGATTTATTCCTTAAAGGTCCTCAGGGTCAGAGATGTTTTCTGCTCCCCAGCTCTGTTACAACAGGGCTTTACCAGCAGCTGTTCCCTGCTATGGGAAGCAGATCCAACCCCTAAATTTGGACACAAGGAGATGCACACCCCAGAGATGGTGTTGGCTGGTGTGAGATGAGTCTGGGTCCCCAGTGCCATCACAGCCCATCTGTCCCTGGTGTCACCCGAGGGCTTTCAGGAGTTACAATGACATCATGCTCGTTCCCGGCCGTGCACCGGCTGTGCCGGGTACTGCAGCTGCCAAATTCCTCCGCAGCACCGAGGGGTGGGAGACCCGACCCTCCTCATCCTGAAACCACCAGCCAGCGTCGTGTCCCTGGGGTTGCTTCTCCTGCCACCCGTGTGGACTTCCCAGAGGTTTGGTGATGCAGAGACGAGCCTTTCCCCTCCACATCAGCTCTGCCTGCAGCCCTGAGAGGAGGAGGATTCCCTGCAGTGCCACGGGAAGGCAGGAATTGCTGCCGATGGAGGAGATGGGGTCAGGCACGGAGAGCATCCCCAGAAACACAAGCCAGCCGTGGTTCAAAGTTTGGAGGACTGACACAGATTTTAACCCCCCAAGGAGGGCTGAGCTGGCAGTGACGTGGCGAGGCTGCATGTGCCAGTCCCAGCTCCAGCTGCTCCAGCAGCAGCTCCACAACCTCCAGCACACAGGGGGAAATGGAAAACGCCAGGAGGCACCACAAAAGCTAGGAGATAATTATAATTTTAGGATCTGCAGACAACAGAGTGTAAACACCAGGAAAGACGTGTTACCACCTTACTCCCAGCCTGGACCCAAGCAAACCCCTGTCTACAGGGAAGAGCAGGAGGAAGAGAAAGTTGCAAATGCTGTTTGCAGTGTGGTGGCCCTGCCTGAACCCCTGTCTGTGTCCCAGTACTACCACCCAGTTACTTCCCAGGTGCATTTTAGGAAGAAATTCTTCCCTGTGAGGGTGGGGAGCCCCTGGCACAGGTTGCCCAGAGAAGCTGTGGCTGCCCCTGGATCCCTGGAAGTGTCCAAGGCCAGGCTGGACAGGGCTTGGAGCAACCTGGGCCAGTGGAAGGTGTCCCTGCCCACGGTAGGGGGTGGGACTGGATGGGCTTTAAGATCCCTTTGAACCCAAACCATTCCAGGCTTCCATGATACTCTCATTCCCTCAGCCAGTGGATGCACGACAAGGACCAAGGAGAAATGAGGCAGAGATGGAGAGCAGTGCCAGTTCCCACATCCCTGGCAGGGAGCAAAGGGCTGCCAGGAGGTGGAAGGCAGGGAGGGAGGATTGCAGCCTCACTCTGCCACACGCAGCAGCAGCCAGGAGATGGATGTGATGTTCCCCTTCTGCTTGAATCCAAGGGTTTCAGGCACGGAGCCCCACGGAAGGGGCTGTAAATATTCCCTAACAAGGGCTGGACACCGGTGCTCCAGCACCACGGAAATGAGCTTTCCAGCAAGGAGAGAACACCCTCAGTGACAGGCCAGCACAGGGAGGTGATGATGGATGTTCTCATCTGGGACAGAGAGCCACCAGCGACGCCTGTGCTGGATAAATCACCTTCAGACTTTGCTGACACGAGAGCCTGGGAATGGGGAACATCAGCTGCCAGCAGAGCCGGGCAGCTCCCCTGCAGCCGAGCAGAGGATGTTCTCTCCCAGCTCAAGGCATCCTGCCTGCTCCTGTTTGCACAGATCAGCCTCAGGTCCAGGGGCTCCAGAGGGCACAGAAGGTCCATGCCAGCCCTGGAGGTCCCAGCCCCCCTGCCCACAGTGAGAGGGGCCAGAGGGGTGCAGAAACTGCTTCTGCTCTGCTCCAAACACATGCACAGAGTGAAACCAGACTCAGCACGACTGATGAAACCACCTTTTCATGAGCCAGAAGTTGATGTGGGAGGGTAAAACACCCCATTTGGTCTCTGACATGTGACCACCAAGCCTCACTTCTCTGTGTGGCCTCACCAAAGCCAGCTCAGCAAACGCCTCCAGCTGCAGCAGTGACACAGACAAGTGGGGCTGCCCCCAAGCCACCACATGCAGCTTCCCCACCCATGGCTGGGTGGGACAACGCCCCTGCCACCCCTGTTCTCCCTGAACGAGGCACTCAAGTCGTGTCGGGCCGTGGGGGGAGAGGGGAGGACTCGGGAGTGGAGCTGCAGGGCCCAGCTCTGACCCCGTGGAGCCAGAGCCGCCCCCCCCTCAGCCCGCAGAGGTACCTGAGAAGCCAAGGTCCAGCAGCACGGCCCGTTTGCGGTCCTTGACGCTGCTGATCTGCTGGAAGTACAGGTCCACGATGAAGAAGAAGATGCAGCCGAAGAAGGCGATGATGCCGACGGCGATGCCGTAGCTGCAGGCGCTCTCATTCTCGTTGAAGATGCAGAGCAGCTCGGGGTTCTGGCTGTCCTTGTTCACGTAGCACTCGTTCACAATGGAGCCAAACACCACGATGGAGAAGATCTGCAGAAGGAAGGAGGAAACACAGCTTGCTGCTGTTTACATTTACCTCCCTTTTCCAACAGCAACATAACTGGATTCAATCCTGTCCTTGACTCCATGGCAACATGGCATTTGTGAGACACATCCTGACTCCCGTCTGGTTGGTGGCTCCAGCCAGAGGGCTGGTGGATGGTACTCGGTGGTCCTCCCCTGTGAGCCTGCCTGCCTTTCAGTGCCCTGCTTTGCAGAGTATTTTAAGGATGTTTCCTCCAGACAGGCTGGGGAGGGTAAAAATAAACAGACGGGGCAGGTCTCTGCACAGTCCTTGTGCTCATGCTGCTCTCCATCATCAGGCTGTTCTGGATAAACTCCCTGTGTCCCTGTGGAGCCAGCAGGAATGAAGTGCCAGAGGATAACTGAGCTGCTGAAGGCTGAGCCAGGGAAGGGTTGGATGCCTGGTGGAGGGGGGATGGGAGGTGGGGAGCAGCTCACCTGGGCACAGGGGACAGGCTGCCCTGGGAATGACTGGGCAATTTTCCACCTGGCTTAGCAGGGGCTGGAGGGTGCAGGACCTGCCCCCATTATCCAGTGACCCAGTTTGGGCCCTGAGAGGGAGAGAAGGGCAGGGGAGCTGCTGGTGGCTGGGACAGGAGAGTGTCTCATCCCTGCAGGCAGGGAAGGAGCAGGCTGGCAGCAGCAGCCTGCACTAATACCATTCACCACGCTGCAGGCTGAAGTAAATCCCTTATCTCCCAACACCAAAGGCAGGAGCGGAAGCTGCAGGACCAGCTGCATCCCAATCCACTCTGGATCCCGCTCCCTCAGAGCCTGGGAAGCGCTGCCCCATGTCTGGATCTCGGGCTGTGAGCAGGAGGGGAGGGAGGCACCATCCATCCCGCCGTGAGCCTCTGATCTCAGCCCTGACTGTCTGCACCCCTGCCTGCATCCCTGCCCACATCCCTGCCTGCATCCCGGCTCCCTGGGCACTGCTGGAGGCCAGGGATGCAGGAGGGGAGATAAGAGGCTGCCTGGGAGCCGCTGGGGACAGACATGGGGCACGATCAGGTCCTGCTGCACCTGCAGGAACAGCACGACATGGGGGGCACGAGACAGGGATGGGAGACACGGGGGCAGCAGCCCAGGAGCCACAGCTGGTGGCATTCACAGAGTCACCCGTGTCCCAGTGCTGCTGCCCTGCCGTGGGTCACCTCCAGCAGCCCCCAGGAAGCCACATCACAGAGGGGGGAAATGGAGCAAACAATCCCCAAAGACCCAAACACTCTTTAACATAACATTGTGATAGACATTTTCTCCTAAGCGTGGGCCAAATGTCTCACCCCTGACTTCCCCAAATGACTTAATTTGGATTTACCTCCTCCAAACTCCTTCCACTGCTGGGGTGAAGCTGGGCCAGAGCTTCTTCACATGAGAGTACACAGTCTTAGGCTGTGCAAGGGGAGGTTCAGGTTGGACATCAGAAGGGGTGGTCAGGCATTGGAAGGGGCTGCCCAGGGAGGTTTGGAGTCCCCAGCCCTGGAGGTGTCCCAGGAAGGCCTGGCTGTGGCACTCAGTGCTCTGGGCTGGGGGACAAGGTGGGGTTGGGGCACAGGGGAGATCCATGGGCTGGGAGGGTTTTTCCAACCTCAATGACTCTGGGATTCTTCTGCCTGAAGCTACTTACAAATGCAAGTGTCCCATTAGCAAACACATCTCTGACCATCTCCACTGAGTCTCCTCCAAACTGGAGGACAAAGAAGTGTATCTGCCAGAGACTGATCTACTAAAATGAGATGGGATTTGTAAGGAACCTGTTTTGGATCTGTAGGGTGTCACGTGAAATAAATGATGAGCAGAAGCAGCAGAGTCTGTGGAGTACACCCCATCTCAGGTGTGCAGCAGCTCCTGCAAGCAGCTGCCTCTGGAACAGGGAGGTAATCAGACCTTCCTGCTCTTGGAATTTAACCACAACCTGGGGTCCTGCCCTCCATTCATCCCCAGCTCAGCTCAGCTCTGAGCACCAGCCACAAGCTCAGTGGCCACCCAAGTCACCCATTGGCATCTGCACCCTGTTCCTCACCAGTGCCAGCTTAGCTCATCATCATCATCACCATCATCATCACCATCATCATCACCATCACCATCACCATCATCATCATCACTATCATCATCACCATGCACACAACAAGGGCACTGGTGTAAGGAAGAAACAACAACAAACAGCAATAATGATTTTCCCAGTGCTCTGGTAGCAGCTGTAACATCAGCAGTTGTAAAAAATCTGTTCATAAATAATGTAAAATTGTTATTTACCATCAGAAATAGCAACAGCATTAGTAAAACAGGCCCTGCAAGAAATAATGTGATTCTGGAAATCATGAATAATTGAGAACCTCTGATTCCACACGATTACTTCTCTGGCAGGGCAGTAAACTTGTACTCAGCTCCTCTGAGAAGAGTTTTACTCCGTTCTCCCAGCAGTAACAACCCTCCCCTTGCCTTTGGGAGCCTGGTGGGAGCCCAGAATTTTGGTGGGTGAGGTAGAGCTCCTGAAAATACAATTGAGGATGTCACAGAGCAGGGGTCTGGTGCCTGCACCAGGTTTGCACACCTGGGGCTGTTGATGGAGGATGCCCAGAAAAGATGTTTTACCACTTATCTTCCAGCTCCAGGGGGCTCTGGGAAGCAAGGCACCCCTTCTTGCTGCCAGACAACCCGAGTGGCTCATCCCATAAGACCCCCACAACCACGTTTTGATGTACAAAACATGGGAAATGTTTTGTACATCAAAATCTTGGGTGGTCAAATAGTAACAAATTGCAAGTGCACATGTTTGACAGATGAGCTCAAAACATCAGCCCTGGCTGAAATACTCCTATCAAAACATGCCTCTGCCAAAATATGGGTTTTCTCTCCCTCGTCCCGTGTTTGAAATGTTAGTTTTTCTTAAAAAAAAACCCAACTGGTGCTGGTAAAACATTTTAGTGAGAATAGATTTGGTGTTGTCATTCTAAGTATAGATGAAAAAATGCCCCTTTTTTTTTTTTCTGAGAAAATGTGGGTAGATGGGGGAAAATAAACCCCGTGTTTTTTAAAGTTCATGCAAAACAAATGCCATTTTCTAATCACCTCTACAAACCACAGTGGCCCAAACCCCCCAACCAGAGACTGGAAAGTGAAAATACAAGGTCAGATTTTGCACTGTGAGTGAGATTCCATGGGCCTGAGAGATCTCTCACAGGATTTGCCAAGGAGCCTTCACAGGACACTCCATTCTCCAGCTGAACAACCCAACACAACCAGCAGCAAATCTTGCTCTTGATGGATGAACCAGTGAAAGATATGGGTAAGAAAAATAAATTTTCTCCAGCCACTCCAGTGTGGAATTGCATCCTCCCTGCCACAGCTTCCCCAGGAATGTGCTGGGGTTCCTGGTGGGGGGCTCCTGGCATGGGGCTCCTCAGCCCTGAGCGATGGGAGCCCCAGCTCCGGCAGCTCCAGCAGCACAGACCACCAGTGGGGAGGGTGGGGAGGAGGAAAGCTCCCTTCTCCCAGCCTGTCCATTCAGAGTTGCACTTCAGGCACACAGAGGAGCTCCAGTGCCCCAGTCACATCCTGGGAGGGAGCACAAGGCTGGTCAGGAGGAGCGGGAAGCGCTCGGACCCACGGGGACACCCGTGTGAGGGCAAAGGGAGCTCGTGCTCCAGCAAACCAGGGAGAAACTGGGACCTCACTCTGCAGTGAAAGCCAGATGCCCCCCAGTTTAAAGTTTGCTTCCAAGCAAGAGAGGAGACCTCTCCAGGCCAGCCAGCATTTCTGGGACAACAGGAAAGGTCTTCTTCCCTGTGAGGGCGGGGAGGCCCTGGCACAGGTTGCCCAGAGAAGCTGCCCCATCCCTGGAAGTGTCCAAGGTGAGACTGGATGGGGCTTGGAGCAACCTGGGCTAGTGGAAGGTGTCCCTGCCCGTGACAGGGGGTGGAAAGAGATGAGCTTTAAGGTCCCTTCCAACCCAAACCACTCCAGGATTCTGTGATTCTGCAGGACCCAGAGCTGCCATCTCAGGAGCCCAGGGCACTGGGACACCCCTGTGCCCACGATGGAGAGAGACACTTTTTAGGTGTGGATAAAGCTGGAGCCACATGTCTGCCTTCTCTGCACCAGGCTTTTACCATCTGGAGGCTGGTGGCTGGTCAGGCTGCCTGACTCCCTTCTGGAGTTATACTCTGCAGCTCCCTGTTCTCTCCTGGGGCTTGAACTGGCTGCACCCCAGCACACATACATTTTTCACTCCCCTTGCTTTCAGCCTTCTGCAGCCCAACGCTTAAAACGTGCTCCAGGGGACCTCGTGGTCTGAGCACAGCCAGTGCAAGGAAAATAAAAAGCAAATAACACAAGAGAGCACGAGCTGAAAGCTTCGGTGTGTGAACTGTCAGCCATTTTAAGGTGAGATGTTCCCACTGCTGATGCGCTGTACTGATTTGGGACCTATAAAAAACATCACCAGAAGGTGTGGGGTTGTAGGAGACTGCAAAGCCCTGCTTTGATTACACACGCAAGCAACCATTAAAGTCAGCATATCAAGGAAATGCAGCGCATGAAGACAAATAACCCCGAGCTCATTTCCTCTGCTGCGGCTCCTGATCGATGGTGCTGGGCACAAACCACACCAGGGAGTCAGCACCAACCTCTGGGTCATCCCTCACCACTCCAGTGTGGGCACCCCTCACCACTCCAGTGTGGGCACCAGCGAGCCAAATGCCACCCTGCTCAGCACTCCTCGAGCCTAGCAAGTGAAGGAGGGACCATCAAACGAGAAGGGAAAACAATTAAGGTCAAATTAGCACAGGCCAAATCCTGCTTAGCATTGAGTGTTTCCCTAAGCCCTGGATAAGCCCTCGTGCAGAGCCACACATGTCTCTCGGGCACATTCTCCACCCAGGGATGAGTTGGACCCTTGGCAGAGGACCAGTCTCCCTCAACGCCCACCCAGCTCAGACCCAGGGGAAATCAGGGCCCGGGTCCCTCCCCAGTTTATCTTTGCAGCTGTCAGTCACAGGGAAGTTTCCAGCACAGATCTGCATAATTCACTGGAGGGTGTGAAGACTAAACAACTGCTTTGGGCAGTGCCAGATCTCCCATGGGACTATGGCTACGACCACAGAGGGAAGACCTGACGTGGTTCCTGGCACAGAGAGAGGTGGTCTGATGCTGGCTGTAACAGGTTTATGGACGTGTCCACCAGGCTAATCAGCTTGGGAGGATGCATGTTGATGACCACATGACTGATTTTTACTGAATTACTTTTTCTAATGTGGCAAGAGGTGCTGGAACACAGTGCCCATTCAAAGTTCCTAATCTCGTACTGCAATCTGAGCACATGGCACACCAGCAGTGCCTGAGACCAGCGATGACAGAAAATGATAAGTTAGAACCATTTTCAGCTCAGATCCAGTGAAACTTCCCTATAAGTCCATTACCAAAAATGTTAAACTTAAGTTCTGCCTTCAACCTACTGCCCATGGAAAGAGAGAATTAAGGCAGAAATCTGGTGACCCTGCTGAAAAGTGGCCAAGACCAAAGTCTGAAGCAGTTAAGATCATGGTAATGACTCTCAGAATCACCACGGGCTCCTTAAGTGCCAGAGCAGCCCTGGAGCTCTTCTCTAAGAGCCCCAAGTGCTCAAGAGCCAGCAAACCCCCTCAAGAGCTGCCCAGAGCTTACTCCTTGTATTTCTCGTTGATGTCTCCTGGGGAGTTCTCCCAGCTATGCCAAGCAGCCACTTCCACCTGCATCTGTAGGATGCCTGGAGCAGGCAAGGTCTGCTCCCAAAAGGGAGCTTCCCAGGCTCCAACTCCAAACCATCACAGGAGCTGCGTGTTGTATCCCAGCAAACCCACACTTCCACCCCACAGCACCTCAAACCAGCCCTCCCACAGCTGCACACACACTGTGGGTCATGTTGAGCTTCTCATCCACCAACATCCTCAAGTGCTTCTCCTCAGAGCTGCTCCCAATCCATTGTCCCAAACAAGCCTGTATTTGGGCTTAGGATTGCCCGAACCCACATGAAAAACCTTGCACTTGGCTGTGTTGGACCTCAACAAGTTCTCACAGTCCCACCTCTCCAGCCTATCCTGGTCCCTCTGGATGCTCCATCCCTTCTCTCCAGTGTGTCAACCACACCACACAGCTTGGGGTCATCTGACCCAGGTGATGAACTACAAAATTATTCAACTTTAAGAAACAAGAGGCAGCAGATCAGGTCAGGCAGCTGCCAGTGTTGCAGGAAAGGGTTTTCCAGCTGTGTAGGCACCACACTTCTAGTGCTGCTCTGACTGAAATCATGGGGATTACTGGAAACATTTCTTAGTATATTTTCCAAAACTGCCTTTAAAAGCCAAACCTAAATGTACGTCAAGAGAACAATTCCCCTGCAAAGCTGAGTGGCCACTTGAAAGCCTGGTTGGCACGGGCAGTGACAGCAAAAGGAACTCATGACTCTGTGGGCATCCTTCGTGAATATCCAGTCTGTTTTGCTGTGCAAAAAATGTCTCAAAAGGAAACCACAAGAGCGATCACATCTTCATCTGACAAACTGCATCAGACGGAGGGGGAAGAGATGAATGAGGAACTGTTAAATGGTTCTTTCCAGCTTTTGATTTTGCAGCTCAAGCCAGGAGCGGTTTTTTCCCCCTTCAGATACTCAGAATTACTCTGTGAGGGGGAGGTTGTGGTGTGAGGCGGAACCAGGAATCCCCTGTGGCCATCGCTGACATTTGGGGCTTTCTGTGTTGAAGTCACCATTCACCTGCCAGACCCTCAGATGTTTGCCAGCACAGGGTCTGAACGCACGGCCTCGAAGCTGCTGCTGGAGTCACAAAGAGGAACTGGACCCTCCTTCGGTGGTGGCTCCTTGGGAAGCCCCAGCAATGGTCACCAGCACCGAGTTGCTCGCTTCAGGCACATGAGACTGGTCCCAAATCCTTGTGGTGGTTCTCCATCACCACCCCACTCAAACCAGCACATCTTGGGCAGATCTCTTTTCCCCAAGGAATGTCACAAACACAGCAAGGGTGATGCCTCCAATGTGAGATCCAACTGCCCAGGGTAACCACGTTTACAAGGATGCACCACCAAAGCACAGGAAGGAAAACCACGTGAAGAAAGCCCACCCCAACACCTAAACTCAGGAGTTTTTGAATAACCATCCAGGGCATGGGCAGCCTGGATCTCCCAGGATGGCAGGCAGGGAAGCCTGGGAAGGGCTGTGTTTGCTTTGTGCATCCGGGAGCAGCACGGTGGGTGTTGGTTCGTGCTCCGGCTGCCACCACAGATGTCACCAGGTGCCACGGCACTGCCACGCTCACCCAGGGCAGCAGTTACAAATGAACAGAACTGAAAGGCAGCAGAGACCTCAGCAAAGCCTTTGGCTGCCTCCTCCATCCAAGATCTCCCCCTGGACATGGCTTTTGTCTGGCAAGAGCAGCAGAGCAACCGCTCGGAAGGAGCCTGGACACGCTCTGCTCTACCAAACCTGCAAGAAACAGCAGGTGGGAAGGGAACCCCCACTCACACCTCCCACCCAGCTGCAGTCCCAGCTCTCACTGGAAAAGAGTTTTAAGTCAGAAGTGGTTTAAGGCACAGGTGGCTGGGCTGCAACAGCCAAGCAAAAGCCAACCAAGGCTCCCCAAAGTGGAGCAGCAATGGAGAAGGGTCCCTGACAGATCTACCAGCAAATCTGAGACCTGGGAAAAGGGCTCCAAAGGGCTTTTACTGTGGAACTTCCACAGCCCAATCCCCAGCCCACTGAGAAGAGCAGAACCTCCCATTTTGCTCACTGGGCTTTGGAGCTGACTCCCAGTATTGCAAACATGGATGGGACAGCACTGCACACATCCCATGTTTGGCCACATCAGTGGTTCCTGCACTTGTTTCGAGTTAAGCTGATGTGTTTCTGCAGTTGTAAGCACTTGGCTTTCACCAATTCCCTGTGAACACAGAGCCATGAGACCAGGGACTTTACCACTGAATAAGCCAGCCAGCAAATACACACAGGACTATTTTCTAAGCTGGGACCTTTATTTTATCTCCATATTCCACATCCTGGTCCTGCTTCCCAGCAGTGTCCAATCCCCGAAGGGATCTCTGGGAGCTCTCTGGATGTGACATGACAGATTTATCTCACACAGGCCCAACTCACCAACAGTGGGTCAGGTTTATCCAATCATTCCCCAAACCAACACCACTGTCAACAGTTTGCCACTGCACTCAAGGAGGATCCAGGAGCATCCAGGTGGATCCAGACCAAGTTTACCAGACTGAGGCAATGCCTCTAGGACACAACTGCTGCCAAGTGTCTGAACTCTGCCCAAAATGCCCCGTCCACATCAAGCTGGATGCCCCAGATCCATTCCTGGCCCAGCTCTGCTCATCCACAGCCTCCAGCCAAGCACCGGAGTTGAGCAGACCCTTCCCATTGGGGGCTTTTGGGAAGGACCTGACATTCCCGACCTCCCAAAGCCATGCATACCTGCAGATCTCAGCAGAAAAGCCAAGCTGGGGAGGCAAATTAGGGGCTGCTCTCAGCCCTGGGCATCCGGGCCCCCCGAGCTCCAGAGCTCAGCTCCCTGTGCTGCCTGTTCGTGGACCACCAAAGCCTTCCCCGAGTGGCTGCACAGCCCATTCCACCGCCTGCTCTCCGCTCCGCGGCAGGAATTCATGGATGGGAAATGGCCAAAGCCCATGCCATCCCTCCAGCAGAACGGGGCGCTGGGCAGGGCTGGCTCCCGGATTTCTGTCACACACACGCATGCACGGAGCGTGGAAGGCAGGAAAATGTCCTCTGCCTCCCGCTCCGCACCCCATCCTCCAGCAGCGAACCGGGCACGGGCAGCGGCACATCCCCCCGCCGCTCCCTGCCCCATTCCCGAGGGAATTCCCTGCCTGCTCCTCCGGGAGCCAGCACGGTCCGGGTGCTGGGCACCCCCCGCCGCAGCGGCACCGCACCGGGCACGATGTAACGGGCACGGGCGCGACGCACCCGCCCCGCCCCGCGCACCGGCCCCGCACGGGCACCGGGCGATGCCGCGGGCACCGCACCCCGCGCGGGCACTGCCCCCGCACCCCCCGCCGCCTTACCCAGGTGGTCACCCGGAGCAGGGTCTGCGGCTGCTTCAGGAAATCCACGGGGTCGATGGCCCCCCCCGCCCGGCCCGCTCCGAAGGACGCTCCTTCCATCTTCCCCCGCCGCCCGCTCCGAGC